AGGACCACTATATACGTCCCGAAGGACCACTGGATACGTCCCGAATGACCACTGCATACGTCCCGAAGGACTAATATACCCTTGACTCTTGGCATGCCAACTATACCTATAGCTCTCGTATCATATAACATGGGCTTTAATATGATTACATTTCTCATTTCATATCTCTTTCATCACTTTTCATATAAACACATAATCTTTTCCAATATTTCACATACCTGGATTATATTCTCTGGAAATGATATTCGTTCATTCCATGTCATATAAACGTATAATGAATTATGCATGCAATTACTATTACAATAGTATATGTATGCATATACATGGGTATGGAATCATTAATTCAACTATCAGAGATAGACTTATCACAAGTCTTGTCTCTATACACTTTAACTATAAAATGCACCCACCTTAGCCTTGCTTTGATTCGATTCTAATCCTTCGATTATTCTGGAATAAGATTACGCTCTAAATCTACATAGTAATATGTTGATACTTATCAGCATACGAATTGATATATTTCAAACTATAAATCCTTAGGCTAAAAGAAAGCTATTTCCATCTCTTATTGAAGGTATGCATCGATGCACTACACCATGTATCGATACATCCCTTAACGGGTGCATCGATGCACTACCCATGCTTCGATGCATAAATCCTATTCGATGTTTGTATTTTAAGCAGGTGCATCGATGCATTAATGGCATTCGATGTTCATTTAATTTAAATGAGTGCATCGATGCACTCCTTATGCATCGATGCACCTTCAACAAATTCTGGGATTTTCTCTTGATGCATCGGTACACTTTGAATGTAATCCTTAGGCTAAAAGAAAGCTATTTCCATCTCTTATTGAAGGTATGCATCGATGCACTACACCATGTATCGATACATCCCTTAACGGGTGCATCGATGCACTACCCATGCTTCGATGCATAAATCCTATTCGATGTTTGTATTTTAAGCAGGTGCATCGATGCATTATGGCATTCGATGTTCATTTAATTTAAATGAGTGCATCGATGCACTCCTTATGCATCGATGCACCTTCAACAAATTCTGGGATTTTCTCTTGATGCATCGGTACACTTTGAATGTGCACCGATGCACTCCGCCTAGAATTCATATCTTGAACCCGAAAACTTATCCATTTTAGCTTAAATCTTTCATGTTTCATCCCCTTTTATATTCTTAACTCCAGTACACATACTTAAACCAACCTATACTCATTTATTTCATCTTAAACCTCAATCATATCTCCTTGTGCAAATCCAAGAATTATACCAACTTTGCAACATGATTTAATTCTACTTCTAACACTTAATATGTCTTAACTATATTGATGACAAGTCAAATTTAACTTCCAATTCTATATATGAACTTTATTCCAAAATTTCATTCAAGAACCTCTAATCTTTAATCTCTTCTAACTCCATCATCCTTTGATTTTAAGATAACCTAAGCTTTCCTTAAGTTTAGTTATCATCTAATAATCAACACCCAATCTTAAATTTAACAAAAATCAATAATCAAAACTCACATTTGTTTTGCTTTACACGTACAAGGAGAAAGAAGAAGAAGAGAACTCTGGAAGCCTTTGGTGTTCTCTCCTTTTCAACCCACGTGTACTCATATATCCTTTCTTTAACTAATTTTCCTTGCAATGACTCTTTTTTCCCTTTCCTTCCTTCTTCTTTTTATTCAATCCTAAACAATCATTTACAAATAAATCTTTATACTATTCAATCATTCTATTTTAATTACCAAAATCTGAAACTTTCCAATTTAGTCACTAACCCGGTATTGAGGATGTTACATCAAATGTGCAAGAGGTTTAAGAAAATGTTATCTTATTTCACCTCTTTTATTTGTCCTCTCCATGAATGTGCTTTCAAGAATCCTAAACAAGGCTGCTCAAAGAGGTATGTTTGGCTATCACCCTCGTTGCAAAAAAGTTAGACTAACCCATCTTTCTTTTGCTGATGACTTACTTATTTTTTGTAAAGGAAATGTTGAATCAGTTGTGGGTGTTATAAGTGTTTTAGACCACTTTTATGAAATTTCTGGCCTCAAGCTGAATACAACTAAGTGTGAATTCTTTGCTGCTAGTATCTATTCTAGTAAACTTGATGAAATCAAAAGAATTATTGGATTTAATCAAGGTTGTCTGCCAGTTAGATACTTAGGTGTTCCCTTGGTCTCTAGGAAACTTTCTGATAAAGATTGTGTGGCTCTTATTGACAACATCAGGGCTCGATTGTACAAATGATCTAAAAGGCACTTGAGCTATGCTGGCATATTAAAATTAATCAGAACTGTTATGCTTAGCATTACTAACTTTTTGTGTAGGCAGTTAATTTTGCCACAATCTGTTCTTAATCGAATTGAGAAGCTTTGTTCTCATTTTTTCTGGAAAGGTTCGGACAATGTAGCAATTGGTGCAAGAGTAAGTTGGGATAAGCTTTGCCTTTTGAAATCTAAAGGAGAACTTGGACTTAAGGACATCAAGTCATGGAATAAAGCATGTATGATGTATTTGATCCGGAATATCATTGCGGGTGAGGGTTCCTTGTGGATTGCCTGGATTAAAAAATATGTAATTAAGGATTCTGATTTTTGGAACATGGAGGCTGCTATTAATTCAAGCTGGAGCTTTAGGCGATTACTTAATATGAGGCTTCAGGCTTTCCCTGTTCTAGCTTCTGGAGTCCAGAAGATTAAAGATATTTGGCTTCTGATTCGAAACAATGGAACAAAAGTTACTTGGCACAAGTTGATCTGGTTCCCTCTTCATATTCCTAAGTATAGTATTATTGCATGGATGGCCTTATTAGACTGACTTCCAACGAAAGACAAGCTGAAACGTATGAGACTTGATATTGATAATAAATGTGTGTTTTATAATGACTCGTTGGAAACTAGAGATCACTTATTCCTTCAATGTCATATGGCTATTTCTATGTGGGAGGCAGTGTTGAACCTCAACGGCATGCGGAGAAGATCGCTTTCATGGGAAAATCACTTAGCTTGGGTTTGTGGTGCATGGAAAGGTAAATCCTTGCTCACAACCATCATGAAGTTAGCTTGAACTGCTTTTACTTACACTCTTTGGGAGGAGAGGAACAAGAGATTATTTCAAGGCTACTCGAGAAATTCTGATGAGATGTTTCATGTTATTCAAGAATCTGTTGCTATTCAATTAAGGGTAGAAATATTAATATGAATGATAGTGTTAATATTACACTTTGTAATCAATGGGGTATAGATTAATTGATGTTTTGTTGTGCTTGTAAGTAGTTGGTTCTTTTGTAATCATGAACATGTTGTTTTTTATAGCAGTTCTATGTTCTTTGGGTAATAAAATCGAATTATCCAACAACAAAAATAATGATCAAATTTAACGGTCGTTACAGTCTAAACACCTAAAAATATAATGTTAAAAACATTAGAAACTTATTTTTAGTGAAAAAGTTCTTTAGGCACCAAAAAGTCAAATTGAGGTATAGTTTATGCACCTAATATTAAGTTTTAGAAAAATAAAAAGTACGATAGACACATAAAAATATAATAGATAAAAATTTGGACACCTATTTTTTTTTAAAAAAAAACCTCTTTAAATACCAAAAATCTATTTAAAATATAATTTTAGACACCTATTTTTAATAAAAAGTTTTTTAAACACCAAAAATTAATTTAAAATATAATTTAAATACCTAAATCTGTATTAAGCCTTTAATAAATTATTAATCTGAAAACAGATAATAAAATGAAAAAAAAATGTTCGGAAGAGGCGAGAAATAGAGGGAGAGAGGTGGGAAATGGCATATCGGGAGGGGTCAATATCAAATCTAAGCCAGCAAAGGGACAGTGATGCCTTAAACCCGCACTCCACATTCCATTTCTCTTTCTTTTTCTTTTTAGCTGGATTGCAATTGGTTTCTATTTTCATTTTCTCATGAAATTAAATAAGAATTATTATTATATAATTTTTAACAGAAAAAAATATATTAGTGTATTAAACATATTGCGCTAATTAAAGCTATAACTTATTAAAAATGCCTTTGTTACTTTTATTGATTAAATGCACAGCTGATGTGCTCAAAATTTGTTCACTCGATTTTATTACTAATCGCATATCTTTTTTTTTCAGCCGGTACTTTTATTACAACAATAAGATTCAGTTATGTTTTCTTTATCTCGTGTTCTCTATTTCTTTAGTATTGGCTAAGAAGTTGATTTTTCTCGTAAAAATATCCCCGATTTGTTAATGAAATCACCTTTTACATCTTTAAGAACGCTACGGGAAAAAAATAGGGTTATAAAATATAAAATTTTAATATATTTTTCTTTTATCTCATTTAAATTTTCTTTCTAAAATATATATTTTTAAATTTTTTATCAAAATTAAAATTACAAAAATTAATAAAAAGAATCTATAATAAACAATTTGAGTGAAATCGGAATTAAAATTAATTTTATTGTAATGGTCTAAAACATATATACTTTTTCAGAATAATTAAAATTTTATTTTCATAAATTAAATAGAAATTCAATTTTTGATAGTTTTGTTAGTTATTAGAAATTTTATTAGAAGTACTGTTACCTTACATCTATTTTATTTTAATGGAATTGTTTTTTGAAAATGATATATAGAATTATGGTTTACAAAAACTATTTCTCATTATGTAAATAGTAACCAAAGATAATTACACATCTCTTTGAAATATATAGTCTTTAATAATAATTCTAAAACTTTAATCAATAAGGATGACATTCTCATTTTTCAAAATTATCAATATTAAAGATATTTATAATTCTGTGAAAATATAAACATGAACACAGAAGGAAGAAAGAAAAAAGAATCCACGAAAAATAAACATATCTTCTTTTCCTTACTTAATTGAGGAGAGAGACAACTTACAGCTTATAATAAACAGAATTCTTTAAATTTAATTGTTTTTCTTTCAATTAAAGATCAGTTCTAAACGATCATTCTTTTGATCAGTGCTGCTGCCGCTGATTTTTCTTCAAATCAACGACGACGACGCTGACATTATCGGTGCTATACCTTGCTAAGGCCAACTTCGTTAACAAAACGGATGCGTCCCAACACGCCTTATCAGAACCCTCCGATGCGCCACCTTTCACCGCCGCATCATTACCCACGGACCTTGGTGCCGATGGCGGCCTTTCAGCGCGTAAACACGTACGTGCCACGCCACATGCTGTTTCATTCGTCACTACATCCCACAATCCGTCGCTCGCAAGTATCAAACACTCATCTTCGCTTTTTCTCTCCGTTATTGTCACCTCAGGCTCCGATATAACGAATGGTTTCAAATAATTATCACCTGATGGTTCATTAAACAAAATTAGACTACAATCTATTGAAAAATTTAAAAAAAATGGTAACGAAATGAAAAATGTTTTAAAACTTACCGATTGCTCTAGACATGGCGAGAATGGCAAGTACTCTTGGACCATCCCAGTAAATTACTCTCCCGCCGGCTTCTTGGATCCGGAGCAATTCATCGGGTCGATCGGGCTGCAAATAAACATATAATTTAAATTTATTTCAATGAAGGCGCCGGAATTAATTTAAGAATATATACATATATATATATATATATATATATATACATATATATATATATATAATGTCTTACCTTGTGATCGTCGGAGAGGGGGAAAGCGGCGCTGTTCCGACATAGTACAGCACGGGAATCACCGCAGTTTGCAACTATGATCTTATTCGGAGTGACAACAGCTACCACCGCAGTGGACCCAACAGCGTCGCACTCTGGAGTTCGAAGCTCACATCGACAAGTCGAACTCTCCCTGTCGTCCATTGTCCATTCTTTAACTTCTTCATCCATCCTCTCAAAGCTTCTCTGCATCGTCTGCTTCCAATCAACCTCCGAATTACCGCCGCACACTTCAACTTCCTCGTTCAATATCTCGTGAAACCGATCTCTACACTTCATCGCAACCTTCATGATAAAAATAAAAGCTCAGTCATACCAGAACTAACGAATAAAATTGATTTAAAGAAAAAAAAAATAAGGATTGGTTTAGTACATGAGTACAGCCATGGCCATCGAATACACCGAAAAAATGAATATCCGGCGAAATTTGAACTTGAGAGCTTTGTTTACAAAAGCAAGGATGAACAGAAACTGCGTCTTCCATATCTCGTCTCCTTCCACAAACGGAAGCTATTCCGAACTTCGGCCATTCCTTTTCTCCTTCACCGGAAATTTCAGTTCCTAATTTCAATGTTCTATTACAAAATAGGCCTTTTTTATTAAGACCGTCAACTTTTGGTAGCTTTTCAGTATCATCTGAGTTCTGAACTGCGTTAACACAGTCCCGAGAAGCTACCGGAAGGACTAGATCACGATCCAGCTTCTTGCGTTTCCGGTCGTTCTCTAAAGGTGGTTGAACAGCGGCGTCGGCTATTATCTTATAGAGACGAAGCTCCAATCTCCGACGGCGAGAAGCTCCCAGGCTTGGCTCAACCGTAGCTACCGCTTCACTATCTCCGACGACTCCACGGGAAACACCAGCCATTAGGCTAATAAATTACTCTTCTTTCAGAAATTAAAAAACTTAAAACCGTTCTTCTATGAAGAACAATCGTCGTTGCAAAATCAGACGGATCTTTTTTTCTTTTTTTTTCCTCTTCTTCAAATTGGATGGGAAGAACCCATATTACTGGGTGGGAGCTATAAGGAGAGCCTTTCGTAGTGAGAAGCTCTAATTTCACCTGGGGGCCACACCTAAGAGCAGGCAGGCTGACCGTCACCCTTCGGGTAAAGTAACAGACACGTATATTTGGTGTGACGTCGGTTTACTGAATTCAAGAAGATGATCGTCTCACCGTCTATTTCATCGGATTCGTTGAAAAGAGACACGTTTAAGAGATTCTTATGAATGAAGTTGGACACGTTGGCCAACCATGGGAGCACACGCTTTCGAAATGACCATTGTTTGCTGACACGCATGTGGTCCTTCGGGGTGGGACGACTCCCCTCTTTGCCGCTCATTGTATTTGTCTTAATAAGTTTCTCATTTTGCTTATTCATTCAATGGACTTATATTTGTATTTAAAATTTGAATTTAATTATTTTCTAATATTTTTTAGTAAAATTAATTTACAATAGTTAAAGCAATGTAACATTTCAGTTTGATTTAACTTTAAAAATTAAATAATAATTTTATGTATCTGAATTTGAATTAAATAAGTTTGAATATAATTACTATAATATTTGAATAAAAATCTATCATTATAAAAATTTAAAATCAAAATGTTCAATTCCATTCCAACTTGAATTTAATTTAAAATTTAAAATGATTGTTTTTAAAAGTAGATACTAAATGGAGATAAGTCGTTTTTGCTTGAACGAACAAAGCAGTGAAAGCGTCCACGTAATAGAGAGAGGAGGTGAAAAAGAGGGACACGTTAGGGAGCAAATGTCAAGGTGGATTGACGCCTTTGCAGAGAATCCGAGACCTTACATAATTCATCATTGACACGTGTCTAGTTGACGTGAATCCGTTTCTTGCTGGAGCAATACCTCTTTCGGGCACTGTGAGTGGGATTTGAAAGTATGCACCATCCTTAATTTGTGATAAAAAGATTTTTTGATAAAGACGTTACCACCAAGAGTACACGTGTAAGGTAGTAGTTAAATCAAAGCTGGAAGTAGACCCCATAGAGTCGTAGACAGCATTAAAGGGTAAAAGGTAAGGAGCGGAGAAGAAATCCAACCAGCCACGTCAAAGGGTTTCAGCTGAGATTTTTTCAAGAAAGGCAAGTTAATATACAGTTAATATATGATCGGATATATTATAATATATTTATAATATTTGGTTTAGCGCTATCGGAAATGTTGAGTAATAATAATGTAGTAGATCTAAATTATGAAGAAATATTAAAAAAGTTGGCAACCGACAAATTTATCTTATCGGTTTGTGTCGATACAAATGAAAAATGTATCACTCCATAGCAATATTACAGGTACAAATATGACAAAACCGGTCCAAAAATGACAACCGGTAAAACATTACCGGATATGTTGAAAGTGTCGATAATTTAATATAAGTATCGAAACTTTCTAAATTTTAAAGAGAAGAAATTATAGCGCCTATAAATGTCGATACTTTAAAAAAATATATCGATCCATAACAATATAACATGTAAAAATATGATAAAACATGTCTCAAAATTGACAAAACCAGTAAAACGATACTAGATATGTTGAAAGTGTCGATACTTTAATATAAGTATCGGCACTTTATGAAATTAAACTAAAAAGTGTCGACACTTTATGAAAATGTATCGATCCATAACAATATAAACAAGTAAAAATATGATAAAATAGGTCTCAAAAATGACAAAACCGGAAAAAAGATACCGGATATGTTGAAAGTGTCGATAATTTAATACAAATATCGACACTTTATGAATTTAAAAGAGAATAAGTTATAGAGCCTAAAAAGTGTCGACACTTTATAAAAATATATCGATCTATAACAATATAACAGCTAAAAATATGATAAAACCGGTATCAACAATGAAAAAATCAGTAAAACGATACCGAATCTGGTGAAAGTGTTTATACTTTAATATAACTATCGACACTTTTGAAATTTAAAAGAGAAGAAGTTATAGCGCCTATAAAGTGTTGATACTTTAAAAAAAATGTATCGATCCATAACAATATAACATTTAAAAAAATGTATCGATCCATAACAATATAACATGTAAAAATATGATAAAACAGGTCTCAAAATTGACAAAACTAGTAAAACGCTACTGGATATGTTAAAAGTGTCGATAATTTAATATAAGTATCGACACTTTATGAATTTAAAAGAGAAGAAGTTATAGCGCCTATAAAGTGTCGATACTTTTAAAAAATATATCGATCCATAACAATATAACAGGTAAAAATATGATAAAACCAGTCTAAAAATGACAAAACCGGTAAAGCGCTACCAGATATGTTGAAAGTGTCGATACTTTAATAAGTACGCGTAATAAATTATCGATACTTTCAAAGAAATAGGTAAATATATTATCGAAAGTATCGACACTTGACATAATAGTATCGACACTTAGGTAGTTGTATCGATTAAATATAAATAAACACATCTGGTGTAAATATAAAGGCATAGCTACATTTCCTCTGAAGATAGATAGAGTTTTTAAAATCGAAGCGTAATTGTTGTTGCATTTCAGAAGGCGTTTCTACGTGAAGTTTTGTTTGTTTGTTGCTGCAGTCGAATCGAAAGGTACGTTGTTGAAACCCTAGTTTTTTATTATTACAGTAATGAGAAATAGGTTTTTTATGTGTTGTTATTTGAGGTTTTCGAAGTAAAAAAGCATTTGGGACCGAATCGATACTTTTATTTAATATTTATAGGTAGAAAATGATATTTTAGGTTGTATAAATGTGCCGACACTTGTTGTAGTGGCCATTCAAATTCTTTTGAAGACCAACCATTTTACCATAAAGAGTTGTTATTTATTTTTGTATATTGAATAAAGTGTATGTAAGCAGTATTTGATTTGATTTGCGCAAACTGATATATGAAGGAAAAATGAAGTCAATGGGAGGAAAGTAACCAAAGGGTGGATATATATACTTCTAGTAAGTATCAGTCTTTTTGTTATTATTGTTGAAATGGTAATTGGATTAAAGTATTTAAGAACTTTAAATTGATTACAAATTTTAAATGTTGACAGTATGGCTGAATGCAAAAGGATGAAGGAAGATGACACACACAGCGGTTCGGTATGTAAAATGAAATTGACATTAAGTATTATTTAGCGTTAATATATTGATTAAGAAACATTTATGCTTAATATTAGGTGAAAAAAGATGTGAGGTCGAAATGGATTTCGATGAGTGATGCTGAAAAGGAACCTTACATCACACAGTCAAGGAATGATAGTAAAGAATACAAAGAACGGATGAAAGCACATGAAAAGAATGTATTCATTAAACTTGTAAATACTTTGATACAAGATATATAAGAACAATAACATTATATATTGTTAAAAAATGTAGGAAGTGTCGACAATGTGCATCATAAAAAGGGTGAATTCATTAATTGAACACCTTAAAGAGAATGATCAGTTGAATGTGCTGAGGGAAATGAGGTTTGGATCATTGATAGGAGTAGGGGATCGACCAATTCAGAGGGAATTGTGTCGATCCTTGATAGAGCAATTTGATGTCAAACAATGTATTGTTAAATATGGTGATTATTCATTCCCTCTGGGGGTATCGACTGCTGCAGCCGTCTTGGGGGTACAAAACAAATGCAAAAGTGTTGTAGAAGTCTGTAGGAGTAAGAACTGGAAAGCACTTGCCTCAAAATATGGTTTGAATAAGAAGGTGGCATATGATGAAGTTGAAGAGGATATCAAAAGTGGATCTTACGGGGGATGACCTGAAGGCCCGAGTTCTATTGTACCTTGTCGGGATATTTCTTTGTCCAACGTGTGATACGTCAACGAACAAGGACGATATGAAGCTCATTTGTGATGAAGGCTTGAAGGGTGAATTCAATTGGGTTGAATATGTCCATTCGAGATTGATTGAATCAATAATCACCTTTCAAAAGGGAAGCCAAAGATACCTCAAAGGGTGCATAGCAATCTTAGAGTTAACTGAGTTGAAGAATGTTTTGGTTTTTTTATATAAAATGCTAGTATAGTTATTATATAAAATGATAACTTTTATTATAAATGCAGGTTGCACTGTTCGATTTTTGGTCGGGCTATGATAGTTTGTCGGCTTATGAAAGAAACGGAGTGGCACGCATCCGTGCATGGGGGAAGGAAGAGGTGGTTAGAGTGATGACGAAGTTGAAGTTGGATAGACCGAGGAAGCTAGAAATTATAACATCCCAAACTATGGGTTAGTGACTAAATGGTAAAGTTTCAGAAATTTGGTGATTAAAGTAGAAGAATGGATTAGTTCAATGATTTATCTGGAAATAAATCCTAAAAGTTGTTAGTAATTATCAAATGAAGTAGAGGGCAAAATGGTCATTTGACTAATAAAAGAATTAAAAATAGATATGATAAGGATATATATGTTAGAGGGGATAAGGATGAAGAGATATTCTCTTCATCTTCTTCTTCTTCATGTACGAGAGAAATAAAGAGCCAAGCTTGCAAAGGTAAGATTCCTTGTTAGCTGATTATTTGTTAATTTTAAGAGTGGGTTTTGATCATTAGGTAATACTTAAGCTTATGGAAAGCTTAAGTTGTTCTAAAATCAAAAGATAAAGAAGTTATGAAAGATTAAAGAAAATGAGTTTTTAAAGGAAATTCTGGAAAAGAGTTAGTAAGTGAATTTTGAGAAGGAATTTGATTTGTCATCAATCTAATTAAGGAATATGGAGTGTTAGAATTAGATTTAAAACATGTTAAAAATCTGGTATGATTCTTGAAGTTAATAAAGAGGAGAGGATATTAAGGTTAAAGACGAGATAATTGATTATAAATGATTTTAAACATGTATATGAAAGTTAGGAATATGAAAGGGGATGAAATATGAAGCATTTGAACCTGAAAATCATCAACCCTTTTTCATCGGATTAATTTTGTTGTAGGTACATTATTTGAACATTGTTATCTATAAATTTATTGTGTATGTATATATTGGTTTGATTACATTGTGTTTATATTT